CCCCCACATCTCCAGGGATTGCCCAACCCGTAGTTGGCAAAAGCTTCTGATAGGGGTTAGTCTTTAAAGAGCCTCGAGAGAGAGTCTCTGGCTGTCGTCCCCTGATTGCCAGGCAGTGGCCCAAGGCCTACCTAGCAGTCCCTGCCCCGGCTCACCCACCTCATCCAGCTGGAAGAAAGGCTCGGTCATGTCGCTGAAGGGATCCTGCAGGTAGCTGCACATGTATTCTCGGACGCGGGCAATGTCGCTTGCCCAGGGTTCCTAGAGGAAGAGCAGGAGGTTATAAGGCAACAGCAGGGAGGGGGGCAGATTCTGGGGTGGGCACCTCCCCGCCAAGAATCCATTCCACACTGGCTTCGGCTTGAGTCTCGGCCTGCACCGCAGGTAAGCAAGAAGGCAGCAAGTGTCATAGGGATATAAGAGAAGCCAATGTTGGATCAGGCCAATGGCCCACCCAGTCCAACCCTGTGCATCACACAGTAGCCAAACCAAGGTGCCATCAGGAGGTCCACCAGTGGGGCTAGAACTCCAGAAGCCCTCCCACTGTCGCCCCCGCACACACCAAGAATACAGAGCATCCCTGCCCCAGACATAAGAGAAGCCATGTTGGATCATGTCAATGGCCCATCTAGTCCAACACTCTGTGCCACACGGTGGCAAAAACCCAGGTGCCATCAGGAGGTCCACCAGCGGGGCCAGAACTCCAGAAGCCCTCCCACTCTTACCACCCAAGCACCAAGAATACAGTGCATCCCTGCCCCAGATATAAGAACATAAGAGAAGCCATGTTGGATCAGGCCAGTGGCCCCTCCAGTCCAACACTCTGTGTCACACAGACCCAGGGGCCATCAGGAGGTCCACCAGCAGGGCCAGAACTCCAAGAAGCCCTCCCACTGTCGTCCCCCCCAAGCACCGAGAATACTGAGCGTCACTGTCCCAAACGTAAGAACATAAAGAAAAGCTATGTTGGATCACGTCAATGTCGAACACTGTGTCATACAGTGGCCGAAACCCAGATGCCATCAGGAGGTCCACCAGCGGGGCCAGAACTCCAGAAGCCCCTCCCACTGTTGCCCCCCAAGCACCAAGAAGACAGAGCACCACTGCCCCAGACATAAGAACGTAAGAGAAGCCAATGTTGGATCAGGCCAATGGCCCACTCAGTCCAGCACTCTGTGTTACACAGTGGCCAAAAATACCAGGTGTCATCAGGAGGTCCACCAGCGGGGCCAGAACTCCAGAAGCCCCTCCCACTGTTGCCCCCCAAGCACCAAGAATACAGAGCACCACTGCCCCAGACATAAGAACGTAAGAGAAGCCAATGTTGGATCAGGCCAGTGGCCCCTCCAACACTCTGGGTCACACAGTGGCCAAAAACACCAGGGGCCACCAGGAGGTCCACCAGCAACCTGAGCTGTGTGAGCGAGGAAACCTCCAGTTTGAATCTCGGCACACCCAGGAACTCACTGGATGCTCCTGTGCAAAACTCTGAACTTTGGCTTGGGTACAGTAACCCAACTTATAAATCTGCAAGGAATCCTCTCAAACCCTTCAAGATAATCCTAGACATCTGCCTCACTTGTCCATTTTTTATCTTGCCCTTCCTTCAAGGTGTACACGATTCTCCCTGTCCCACTTTATCCTCACAGCAACCCTGTGAGGTAGGTTAAGCGGCGAGAGTACGGGTGGCCACCTTGAGCGCCTCCTGGCAGAGAGGGGCTTTAAACCCACGTCTCCCAGACCCTCATAACAGACTCTAAACACACTGGCGAAGGACTCTGATGATTCTTGTTTGTACATCCCGCGTCCCACAACGTTCTTGACTGAAGGAGAGTTTACACATGAATCTATAAAATGTCCTTTTCAAACTATTTGTTTCTTTGGCCGTCACTACATCCTCTGGCAGCGAACGCCACGTTTTAATCACCCTCTGTATAAAGTAGTGTTTCCTTCTGTCCATCCCGAACCTACTGCCCCGTCAGTTTCGTTGGATTGCCCTCAAGTTCTAGTCTTTTGGGAGAGGGAGAAGAATTCCTCTTTGTCCGCTCTCTCCACCCCAGGCATGATTTTATAAACCTCTCTCATGTCCCCCCCCCCCGCAGTGAGTGTGCCCTCTAAGCTGAGCGTGAGCTAGCTCACAGTTTTTTAGCCTCCGGCTCACACATTTTTGTCTCAGCTCAGGAAGGATGGGGCTCCAGAGCAAACTAATCTATGCAGTAGCCAAATCGCTCGCTCACAAATTTAATGCCAGTAGCTCATAAAGCAGAATTTTTGCTCACAAGGCTCCACAGCTCAGAGGGAACATTGTCCCCCCGTCATCTCTTTTCTAACCTGAAAAGTCTTAGAGACCCTTCGGCCTTTCCTCCTAGGGAAGGGGCTCCAACCCTTTAATCATCTTGGAAGTTACTGCGGCCCCCCCCCCCCCCCCCCGTACTTTCCCCATCTCTGCCATGTCCTTTTGGAGATACGGGGACCAGAACTGTACACAATACTCCTAATGAGACCACAACATAGATCTACACTGAGGCATTACAATATTGGCTGTTTTATTCTCAGTCCCTTTCCTAATAATACATAACACAGAGTTTGCCCTTTTCACCGCTGCAGCACACTGGGTCGACACTTTCATGGAGCTATCCACTACGACCCCCCCAGATTTTTTTCACTTTCATTCTGAGAGCCAGTTTGGTGCAGCGGTTAAGTGCGCGGACGCTAATCTGGGAGGAACCGGTTTGGTTCCCCACTCCTCCACTTGCACCTGGCTGGATGACCTTAGGCAAGCTGTAGGTCTGATAAGAGGTGTTCTTGAAAAAAGAGCAGTTTCTGTCAAGAGCTCTCTCAGA